TCCTACACAGCAGAATGCCAGACGTCAGTTAAGGTTTGGTAACCTTTTTCAAGAAAATATGCCTGTTCGAGATTTTTATGATAAAGTTAGAAGAAGTGCTGAGCTATTAGGTTATGGTAATGATGTTTTAGTTAATCAGTTTCTAAGAGGTCTGAATGATGATTGTGCTATTGAGGCTGAAAGGATTGGTGCTGAACGGGATATAGAGGAATTGGTAGGTCTTCTTGAACGAGTTGAAAAAAGAAAGGCTGAATTACGTCTTGGTAGAGAAAGACGAGAAAATATACAGTATCAGAGGGATAGACAAATTATTCCAGAGCAATTGCCACCAGTTAGTCAGGAGCCAGTTATATTAAAACCAGTCCAACATCATGCAGTTACACAAGGAGAAATGAGTCGATTATTACAACAACAGGCTGAAGGTTTTCAATCCCAAATTCGCCAATTACAGGAGAGTCTTAAGGCTCGAGATGTAAAGCCTGTTTATAGACCTAAGCCTAAGCCTACGCCTCGATATCATGATGATTGGGATGATATTCCTGATGAAGCTTTTAATCCGCCTGATGAAGATGAGGTTGATGATAGGCATTTACAACAGTTATTTGATGCAGTATCAGGTAGACCTGCTCCTAGAAATACATCAGCACAAAGATTAGCTGGTAAGATTGCTAAAAGAATAGCAAAAGCTAGAGAAAGACGTGAAGATGCAGAGTTAAATAGGGTGATGCGTGAACTTTCCTTGGATGATCATGATGATCCTATGGATACTTCCAATGCTATTCGAGGTGTACCTATAGAATTAGTTCAAGGTGAGAATGGAGAAATTATGCTTGTCCAAAAAAAAAGATAGTTTCAAATAAAGGTAAACTACCAGCAACTAAATCACCACCATCTAAATTGACAAAATCGGCATCTAATTCGACTAAGATGGTAAAACTTCCTGCTATTAAGCCATCAACGAATTTTACTAAAACGGAGCTCTTAAATCTTCTAAAACTTGCTGATATCAGAAAGATTATTCAGGAGATCGTCTATAAAATATTAGAAAATTATGAAAGCGCTCCTCAAGAACAACCAGCAGTACAGGAAGAGTATTTGGGTCCAATGGCTATGGATATTGATGTCGCTCGATTGGAAAATACTAAAGATCTTTTAGCTATAAATGGAAATGTAAATGGGGTGAATATTCAGTGTCTAGCGGATTCCTGTGCTAATGTTTCCTTTATCCAAGAAGAAGCATGTCACGAACTAAAACTAAAAGTTGATAAATCTATAAAGCATAGTATTACTGGTGCATCAGGGGGTGGTAAGACACTTGGTATAGTAAAAAATGTATCGATAAACCTTTCACCACCACAGAGTGGTAGTTGTATCATTAAAGAAGATCTTGTAGTCCTGAAAGGATATAAGCATAGAGAGATTGGTTTGAGCCGAGCATGTCTTAGAAGGTATAATTATGATATTCATGAATCTCGAAATCATATCGCCCTTACCTGCAATGATAAAGACTATTTTATTCCTATAATTCCAGATGCAAATAGGACATAAAAAAATATAAAATTAGATCCATTCAATGGATTCTAGATAAGATTCATTCGGCATCAAAATCACTTGAATCATCACTTAGATCTTCATCAGAATCACTTGGTTCATTCGGACCTGATTGCCAATTTGCAGGATTGTCTGGATCTTCATCTCCCCAGTAATCTAGTTGCCAAGATGGTTCTTCTTCTGGATCTGAATCTGGTTCACCGAATCCTGGGATTTCATAAGGATCCAACCTATCAGCTAGCATGTTAATATGATAAATTATATAAATCTTTTCTGTATCTTTATATGCAAATCCACCTTGTAATATAATTGTTTCTATTTCTACCTGATATGCAAAAGCTTTTCTTTTTTTATCGGCCAAATCCCTAAATTTTTTATATAGTTTATCTGTAAGAGCTTTATTCGTACCTACATATTTTTTAAAAGCATGTTCTAATTCTTCATCAATATTCTTATAATCCATTACAGCTTTCCAGTAGTCCTCTTCGGCAAGCTGGTTAAGTTGATACATGATGACACGAGCAATTTCATGTATCTGAAATATATCGGTTCTCTTGAAAGTAGCATTAACATTATGGCCAGTTTCCTTGATTGGAGTATTTAACCAGTTTTCTACCCATTCTGGGGATACATCTAAGAATGTAGCAATGTCAGTATACATTTTTTAGTATATAATGGATATGTTTAATTTCGAATATTTATTATATGATTTACTTTATTATACCCTTATCTTTAATTACAATTTTAGAATTTTTCGAAAAAAAAAATATAATCTATTTTGTATCATTATAGATACGTATTAGATTGGGAATGTCTTCTTGTAATCTGTCAGCTGGCTCCCATGTAGATTCGTCTTCTGGATAGCGTTCCCATTTGACTAAGTATTGGAGCTGATCCTTTCTGGTACGATGCTTAAGAATCCTTTCAGGTACATATCTTTCTGGCCGTC